TACGTGTGTGACAATGAATCAAACTTGCAAGAGCAATATGAACTCGAGTATAAGCTCAATCAAGGTTTTGAAGTTATGAATTCCCAAGCCCATGACGGCAAGAAAAACCTTAATTCTTGGACAACAACTCGTGAGGGAGCAAATGAGCAAGTGCTAAAAGGAAGCTCTTCACCCCAAGACCTTGACGACCCACCCAAGTGAGATCAATATGATGAGGACGACGTGTTAGAAATTGGTTTGATCCAAATCAACGAGAAGGGATCATCTTCCAAACGAGGGGCTAACAACACAAAGTCTCCCATTACTCATCCAAATAAGGGGCCAGCACCTCAAATATCAAAAGAGGTCGAACCTTTGGAAATTCTAAGGGGCCTACCTGGCAACTTCACCAGACTTCCTCGCCAACCCACCTACATAGGATGAGGAGCCATGCTTAAAAGATTTAACCGAGTCACCTCTCGAGGTGAACCCAATTATAGATAATAGAGCAGCAAAGAGCCCAAATTTGACTATTCTCAAATATTTGATATCTTCACTAGAGTTGATAAAGCTCAAACCTTTAGAAATTCTAAAGGGCCCACCTGGACCACCTTCACAAGATTTCTTGAATGATCCACTAATCTGGGATCACGAATTGGATATTGAAAATTCGACGATATTACCTTCTCAAGAAGCAGGCTCTTTAAAAGTCATTAGCAACATGAGCACAACTCTGATAACTTGAGCACCACCATATCAAGAGAATTCACATGAAGAACAAGTTCCCAACGAAACGAAAAGCTCTGCAGGGGCAACCCCATCAAAATATTCAATAGGGGCAAACTCCTCTCATGAAGAGGATACAATATGGGCAACTAATGAGACATAACTCTTGTTCGTTGACTCCCAACATGTCGTAAGGCCATCTAGTACCAACTCAACCACTCCTCTTGTGTGAGAGTCTCACCTAAGCTTGAGCACTGAGATGGAGCCTTCCATAGAGTTAACTTCTGAAAAACAATTCGAAATTTGCAATGAAAGAGATTACCGAAAAGGAGTTGGGTGATCACTCACCCCTTGCAAATAACCAAATGAGGCATTCATGCCTCACACTTCAAAGGGCGTTAACGCCTAATGTGTAACATGAAGTACTCCATTAACGGGAAAACACTGATGACCTTATCCGTCCATACGAAAAGCTAAGGGATTTGGAAACTGAGAGTGATTTTTAGTCTCAAAATCAAGGTTCAAGTGGAGCAGTTTAAAGGAAAAGTTCAACAAATATTCAATAACCATTGTCGAAGAGATTTTGGATGCCAATCTGGGTCAAGGGAAATCAAATGAA